TGCGTACAGTATTGGAATATCTATCAGATACATTGTAAAAAGAGTAACGAGTGGAGTTTTTGCTCGTTTTTCTCTATTATTTATTTTGTATTTGTTGACGTTTCAAAAGTACCAAATTGTTTATTTAATGAAACTAACTAAAATAATTGAATTTTTTTTTCAATTATTTTAATTAAATTAAAGGTTTAATTGAAATAAATGCTTTGACTTTGATTTTGAAAAGACTCTTAAACTGTCAAACACCAAGCGGTCACCGGTGACCGCAACCTATTGTTCTTTAATTGTGTCTATAATGACGGTACTCAACGAGTTAAAATTAAGATTCTCCATACGTGAAATTATTTTTGTAGTCTATGGAACTCACTGAGCTCAGTGAGCTGCGCGACGTCGCCACGACCGCGCACGCTCATGAGGAAGAACCCCTCTGTGGTTCGAAACTAGTAGAGCTTTTCTCAGTATATTCACGTGAGTAACCCGCGACTTTAGTTAAGAAACAAGTCGTTTATATTTTCTTAAAGTCGTAAACTTGAAACTCTGAAAAATTCCGACTCCTAAAGGACTAAATTTTTTATTACTTGTACAATTTTCAGAGAGTTTAACAATAAAGAATATGTGCCAGGCTATGAGACTAGGGTTTAAATATATATAGCATAGATTTACTGGATACTAGCTGTTACCTGCGACTTCGTTCGCGTGAAATTATTCATATTTCTTGTTAATTTATACTTTTTTGACGCGACAACGTGTTGATTGGCGAGGCGTACTTGAGAGCTAGTATCAAACGGAACGTTTATTGTCTACTCAAGATGGCGACTGTGGTTTGTTTGTCAGTGTCAAAGAGTATAATAAGTATAGGGGAAGTCAGTGTCATTAAAATGAATTAATAACATGAAATAATCTCCGTAATCCGAATTTTGCGGATATATGTTGTCGACTCGAAATCGATATTTTTTTATGTTTTGTTATTCAGGTAATGTTTCGATCGAGTCTACCGTACCCCTTGACGAAATTATTAATATAGATTGTAATATTTAGTTATCTTACTGTAAATACTATATGTATATATGTAATATAAACCTTTGATTTGTCTGTTAATTTCTGCTTAATCCAACAAGACGATTATGAACACAATATATATTTATATCTTATATCATATATATATATATCATAATATCACGACTTTTATCCCTGAAGGGCTAAGCAGAGGTGCACATTACGGCACTTAATGCCACTGTACAATGTAACACCCACTTTTTACTATTATGTTATGAGTCCCATGTAATAGGGGGTGAGCCTATTGCCATAAACCAGGCACAATTCCAGACTTCGTGCTACTATTGAGATTTTTTGAAAAAACGCAGTAATACTTTGCCCGACTCGGGAATCAAACCCGAGACCGACAGTCGCACTTGCGATCACTCGGCCTACGAGGCAGTCAGACAATTATTAAGCGTTATTATAATAAGTACAACAAATCTGACCGACTTCTTTACTTCCCGGTTCTTGGGTTAGGCATTTCTACAGTACAAACCTACCTCAGAGGTATAAAAGAAAGTCGTGTTAGTTACACCACTTATAACTCAAGAACGGCAGAATAGATTTGGCTGAAAATGGGTAGGAAGGTAGCTTAGAGCCAGAAGACTGACATAGGATACTTTTTAAGCAAAACAATTTTTTTTTTACTTTTTCCCGAAAATAACGAACGGGGACGGGAAAAAATGGAATGGTACGCGTACGAAGTCGCGGGCAGAAGCTAGTATTATATACAACCTCACTTCAAAAAATCTACCATCCCTAAAAACATTAACCGTCCAAGCCAGAATAAAACTTACGGCCAACCATTTAAGGCATGTTTTTGATCTACTTCTTCACGGAACTGATACTTTGGTTGTTATAAAAAGTTTTTTAAGAGCATCATCTCAAGAACTCTGTAACTTGGGACCAGAAGTTAGTTCACTTAAAACTACTTCGCTATGTACTAGGTGATACCTATGTGGGTATTATGTGCACTTATCTTAGGTAGAGTTTTGCTCTTCATGGTATGATTAATTGTGGTGGTATTTGGAGAGTAGTTAGATGTTAGGTAGTAAGTAGTTGGGTGGTTAGGTGCCCATGTTATATACTACCTCGGTGCATAGAGTTGCTTACTATTTTTAGATTGTAGTTACGTTAAAGTTTAGCAGACTGCTTCATTGGCTGAGTGGTCGCAAGTGCGGCAAAGGGTCTCGGGTTCGATTCCCGGGTCGGGAAAATTCTACTGGGTTTTTTAAAAAAAAATCTCAGTAGTATCACGGAGTCTGGAATGGTGCCCGGTATATGGCAATAGGCTCACCCCCTATTACATGGGGCTCATAACATAAATAGTGAAAAGTGGGAATTACATTGTACAGTGGCATAACGTGCGCGTTACTTTTTTTATCCCCGAATGGGTAGGCAGAGCCATTCGGGGATAAAAAAGTGATGCTATGTTATGTTTAGCAAACTGTTAGATTTTTACGGTTTCAGCAACGTATAATAGGTATGGTTCCTGAAAAAGGATAAAAATGGGCAAAGCTGCGGGTTTGAATCTATATAAACTTATTGATTTATTTCTTCTTTACAAAAGATTGCAATGAATGGCGCCCTTAATACCTTAGGGAATTCTCTGACAGTCAACCATAGAGAAATGAAATGAAGAAGTCAATGCAGAGAAATGAAGCGGTTGATGCGAAACCAGAACACAGTTTAAAAAAAAACAATTGTTGAGTAATATGTATACTGCAGGTATGAATATATCTTAATACAATATTTTATAGGTACATCTAAATAGACAAAAATGCTATAATAATTTGTGCTGCTAAACGAATACTTATGACCCTTATTGCTTTGGCTCGAAGTGCAGGAGTAGGAACGGGGTGGTTTTTAGTCAGTAAGAGTCTGACACTCCCTCCCGCCTCACCCGGGCGGGAGAAGTGATTCAATGATTTTCTTCCCTTAGAACAAAATGATAACATACTTATACCTACTAACATCTACCTACTAATATTGCAATACATTATAGAAAACTTTGTAAAATAGTTTCCACAATTGTTTAGAGTCTGCCAATGCTTAATGTGATAGATACTAAATTTCATCACACATAACAAACACCGTATAACTAGCATCAATAAAAAAAAGAAAAACCTAGGAGGTAGTACATAATTCTATCAGGACATAACAAACACTATTTTCAGTTTCAACATCATACAAATAACTTAAAAATGTACTTTAACAGCATTCTCAAACAAAATGCTTCCGTAAAATTCCTTGAAACTCTTAAAGACGTTGCTTCTGGCATCCACAGTAGCAAAGGCGAGTACTTAAGTACGTACAGAAACTTACTCTACTTTGTTCTCCAACAAAGAAATATCCCAGAGACAAGAAAATATTAATATTCCTCGACCAAATGTATGAGAAAAGACAGATATCCAACTAAACTTCTAACCAAAGAAATTTGGTCTTTCCCATCTGGTGCCAAGGTAGGTTTTCCGATGTGTGAACTTTTATTACTCGTTCGGCTATTATCTTCACGTTTTATGGATATGTCGCAGTCATTTTGGTGAATCCGTATTTTGTTTCCTTATCCCTGTAAAGACAAATAAGTGTTGTGATGTTAGAGTATGGGTAAGTATGTCTCTCGTTCTTTCTCAAAATGTTTTTTTTTTATAAGTATGTGGCATTTTCTACGGTGTACATAAAAAGATTTGTTAAGGAATGTTATAAATAATTCAGTGCATTCATAATATTTGTAATATTGCTGTCAGATTTAACTGTTACAATAACTACAGCATTATGTAATGGCGAGCCTATGAGTCTACTTTATTTAACACCATTTATTATAATCTGCCTCGTTGGCCGAGTGCTCGCAAGTGCGACTGTCGGGCAAGGGGTCTCGGGTTCGATTCCCGGGTCGGGCTAAATAATACTACAGAGGAGTCTGGAATTGTGCCCGGTATATGGCAATAGGCTCACCCCCTCCTATTACATGGGACTCATAACATAAATAGTGAAAAGTGAGTGTTATATTGTACAGTGGCATAATGTGCACCTCTGCCTACCCCTTCGAGGATAAAAAGCGTGATGTTATGTATGTATGTTATAATATCATAGCTTGGAAGATGAGTTGATCGTTTTTTAAAAGGATCAGGATTATCAGGGAACGCTGTTATTGTCTACGTTTCTAGCAATATTTTTTCATCTATTAATCAAAATGTAACCGAAATGTGTTTAACGTAAACATGTACAATTATGGTTAAAAATATATATTCCTTAATTTATTTCATAACTAATTAATAACATGCAATTAGGCCTACGTTAATTTCACTGGTAAGACGTAAAATCCAATTTTCCTGTTCCCATAAAAAACATGGTTGAGGAAGTATTAAACAAAGGATAATATTAATGTTGAAATTAAAATTTCCCAAGTATCCCTTTAATACGATAAATATTTTGATGGATATTCGATATTAGTTTTCATAGAATAACGTATTAAAAGCACGCGTAGTTGCATAATTATTAGCTGGCCTGGCTTCATTGACAGACAAACTGACAGATAATTAAATTTTTGACGTTCAAATAGCGCCTTATTAAGAATAAATTTGAATAAATGCTTTGACTTTTTGACTTTTTTTATTATTATAGCCTCATACCAGGAAATATTACAAAAAAAAAACTAATATACGTGTACCACTCGAATGGACTTTATGTGGCAAGTTCGATTTCGTCGAATATACCGATTATTTTTAGAGCACCAACAATAATTGGTGGAATTGAAACAAGCGCTTACCTCTGTAAGCGCTTGTATCGTATTATATATTCGCATCTTTATTCGACGACTAAAAAAACTGCACATACTATTTATAGTCGACTATTTATATCTATCTTTTATTCTATCGAAAAGTGTACCTACCTAATCTATAATTGAATAATTTAATTGTACATATGAATATGATTAATGAAAAATTATTTCTCTTTGGTTTCAGAGTAAGACACTAGATTTGGCCTTAGTGTCAATATACAGAGGAGGTGTAGAATTGGCTTCTATAAGCCAATATGCTGGTTCACCATACAATACTACAGATAGGTGAGTTTCTTTCTTATTATTTCCTATTTCTCATTCTCACTCTCTCTCTCTCTCTCACTCTCTCTTAGCGACACACAGGCGCATACACACATATAGAGCGGCCAAAAGAGAGGACGATATCTCTTTCTCTCATTTTTTCTTTCTTTCTACGTATATGTGTATGTGTGTGTTTGTGAGAGAGAAAAAGAGAAAGAGGGAAAAGACTTGTGTGCACACCACCTATGTGTGTGTATTTCTTAATGTGTAATGTGCCAGTGTTATATAATTATGTGTGTGTCAAAAGATATCTTTTTTGCCTTTAACTTACTTACAAACGTAATCCTTACTAATAGAGTTTGTTTGCTTTGAATTTTTACAGACGTAAAGTTAGAAGTCCGGATTAAATAATAGGGTACTTTTTATCCTGGAAAAATGTGATATCCCCGAGGGAAAACAAATGTATTGGTATAGATGGCGCTGTGTGTATTGGTATATGTCACATAGGCTACTTTTTATGTCGCGGAGAACCTAACGGGTAACCGGGGCTCCGGCTCGACGTGCAGGAGAAGGAACGGGGTGGTTTTTCGTCAGTAAGAATCTGACACTCCCTTCCGCCTCACCCAGGCGGGAGCAGTCATTCGATGATTTTCCCGCCTTAAAAAAAAGGCTACTTTTTATCCTTTTGTGACGCGAGCGAAGCCGTGAGTAAAAGGTAGTCCAGAAATAAAATCGTAAATATGAAAGATAAGACAAGTACAAGTAGGTAAATATTTCAAGGTAAAATATCTTCAGTGACTTTCTTCGCGGAAAAAATATGGCGTACATTTCAGCTTCTCCGTATAATTTTAACATGTCTGCGAAGTTTTAACGCGACATCAAACCTGAATGTTTTGGTAAAGCCTCAGTTGTTTTTCTTAAGTCTTTCATATTACCGTGATATTCGAGATTAAAGGAATTTGCGTCTGACCTATTTTTCACACTTTTGTTTTTTTTTATTGGATAAGCCGGTAAACGGGTAGACGGATCACCTGATGGTAAGCAATCGACGTCACCCATGGACACCTGGAACACCAGAGGCGTTCCAAGTGCGCTACCAGCCTTTTGGATTAAGGAATTCGAAGATTGTTGGGGATTCAGGGATTGGGGAAAGGGGGGGGGGGGGTAATTGGGCATCCGGTAACTTGTTTCACGTCAGTCTTCGGTGAGGCCGTGGTATGACTCCGATCGAGCCGGCCCATTCATGCCGAAGCATGGCTCTCCCTAGGAAATAGGCTGGTTAGCTTGAAAACAAGATTTTAATAAATGCCATCTTATCTTACTAACTAGTTTTTACCCGCGGCTTCGCTCGCGTCACTAAAGGATAAAAAGTAGCCTATGTGACACATACTAATACACACAGCGCCATCTATACCAATAATTTCGTTTTCCCTCGAGAATAACATTTTTTTCCGGGATAAAAAGTACCCTATTATTTAATCCAGACTTCTAACTTAACGTCTGCAAAAATTCAAAGCAATCGTTTTAGTAGTTACGGCGTGAAAGTGGAACAAACAAACAAACTCACTTTCCGATTTATAATATAAGTAATGAGTAAGGATTTGACTGCACGGTTGGTGCGGTGGCTGGGCAACTGGCTGACATGCATCGGGTAGTGGGTTCGATTTCCGCATGGAGCAAAACTTTGTGTGATCCATAAATTGTTGTTTCGGTAGGTGTCATGTGTAAGTGAACTTGTATGTTAGTAAACGCGCCCACGACACAGGAGAAAAATCCTAATGAGAGGGCAAAGTTTAACACGTTAAACGCCATGGGGGTCACCGGTGACCGGCGTTAGCGGAGGATTTACCTACAACAGTTTTTTATTGGCAGTCAAAGGCTTAAAAAAAATAAAAAGTATGTTATACATGCAAAGCTTTGTGTGTATATTTGTTACTCAATCATGTCAGAACAACTGAAGACATCAGGATGAACTTTGAAACAGGGATAGATTATGGTCTGTAATAATACATAGGCTACTTTTTATGTTATGGGAATGCGAGCAAAACCGCGGGCAGAAGTTAGTTTTATATAAATATAAGTTATTTATAACATAACATAACATCACGCCTTTTATCCCCGAAGGGGTAGGCAGAAGTGCACATTTCGACACTTAATGCCACTGTACAATGTAACACCCACTTTTCACTATGTATGTTATGAGTCCTATGTAATAGGGGGTGAGCCTATTGCCATATACTGGGCACATTTTTCCAGACTCCGTGCTACTACTGAGATTTATAAACACCCAGTAATACTTTGCCCGACCCGGGAATCGAACCCGAGACCCCTTGCCCGGCAGTCGCACTTGCGACCACTTGGCCAATGAGGCAGTTAAACCACGGGAATGCGACCAAAACCGCGGGCCGAAGTTAGTTTTGTATAAATATAAGTTATTTCTACCAGTTATTTCTAACCTGATTTAATATTTGTAGATAATCCAAATATTATTCCTTTGTAGAAAAATACATAGGTTATACACACGTAGAACAGACTAATTATTTAATTATAGACACTCATTACAAATAATTACAATAATAGTGATAATTCATGTATAATTTTGTAATTATTCTGACCTTTCCAAATTAAATAATTTGAAATGTATTTTTAGTACTAATTGTAACAAACTTTGCTCAACTGTAAAGGTCAATAATAAAACTTTGGACGTAAGCGAAAAACATTTTCCGAAAGAATTATCATGTAATTTGAAAGTGTTTTATTATATTTTATGAGAATTTTACTGGTTATTAATTTTAGTATTATTTTGAGATAGAAGTACGAACATCGACACCTCTGATAGTCTAATGTTCGACTCTGAACCTCCTGTACCTACATAGAGGGTTCCATAACCTCGACTCCAAGGCAGATTTTTTTTTATGGAATAGGAGGCAAACGGGCAGACGGATCACCTGATGATAAGCGATCAGCGCCGGCCATGGACACCCACAACACCAGAGGAGACACAGGTAACGCACCTGTGACGCCTCTGGAGTGACGCCGGCCTTTTAAAAAGGAATACGCTCTTTTCTTGAAGGTTAGAAGGTCGTATCGGTTCGGAAATACCGCCGACGACAGATCATTTCACAGTTTTGCTGTGCGAGGCAGAAAGCATCGTGAGAAGCGCACAGATTGTTGTTGGCAGATTTAAAAGGCATTTTGTCTGTGTGTCTTATTAATGTGAACTTGTACGTTTGTAAACGCATATGACACATGAGAAAATCTTAGTGTGGGGCAAAAAAAGGTTCTGGTTCTCATCAATCATCAAAAGAGAATCACAGAGTGCTGTAGCCCAGTTCTCCGGCCACGATAAGCACAAGCCTGCAGACAGCAAGTAAGGGTAACCCGATCAGAATCAGACCCGAGCGTACGGCGCGTTGAGTCCTGCACATGCCTCAAAGAACCATCACGCTAACACAGATGGGACCCAATAGGGGTGATGCCGATACGATACCGCGAAAAACTTAACTGGTTACCGGGACTGAAATGAAGGAAAGTGCAGGAGTAAGAACGTCAGTAAGAGTCTGACGCTCCCTCTCGCCTCACCCGATCGGGAGAAGTCATTAGATGATTTCTCCACCTCAAAAAAAAAACGTTAGCTCCTATGACACCCACGGTATGAGTAGATAAATGTATTCTAATCTGCCGTCACTTTACGGCTCGGAAATAAATACAACCACAATAACACGTGTATTTAACACTATCTAAAACAACAACAACAAGTTCTAGAAATATTTCAGTAAACATAATATCTCTTCTTGGAAAATAACCCTTATTCGTACCTCTATCATCAACACAAGCCTATTATTTAATCAACTCCTCATACAATGACTTTTAAATTAAATTCTCAGCCTTCTATATCAACAGCCACACATCAAGCAATACAAAACCAGTATAAATTGATCTTCGATATGTGAAAAGATGATACAAAGTGAGACCTTAATAAACTGGCTTTGTATAGTTTGACATTTAGCTGTGTGTACCAGGAACACAGGGAGGCGTGATAGTGAATTTAATTACCGTTGTCTCATTACCGAGTTACATATTACGCGCTAATATGAGTCTCGTGTCGCCTTCTCCAAATAGACGCCAAAGTAATTGTTATTTGTCTCATTAAGGTGACTAACATTAAGCCTACATAACGAAAATAGCATCTTTGATGGCTCTTTGAAACGAGTGTTAGCGTAAGCTGAGAAATCTTTTGATTACTGCTAATGACTACTTTTACCTTGTTAGTTTTTAGTGTGGTAGGGTTGTTAATGAGATCGTACTACATAACGTTTAAATCCTACAAGAATGAATATTCTGCATGGCCGAGTAGTTGCAAGTGCGATTGCCGGGCAAGGGGTCTCGGGTTCGATTTCCAGATCGGGCAAAGTATTACTAGGTTTTTTAAGAAAACTCAGTGGTAGCACGGAGTCTGGAATTGTGCCCGGTATATGGCAATAAGCTCACCTCCTATTACATGGGACTTCTAACTTAAATAGTGAAAAGTGGGTGTCACATTGTACAATGGCATTGATTGCCGTAATGTGCACCTCTGTCTACCCCTTCAGGGATAAAAAGCATGATGTTATGTTCTGTAAGAATTAATATTCTGGAGTAACAGGTTACTTTTATGCAAAATCACTGACATAAGTGTTTTTTGAAATATTAATTACCTTTATAGCATTAGGTTTCGTTAAAAACCAGGCTAAACGAAACCCCAGGTAATTGACAATATTTCCGTCAAGAAAATCCAAACATTTACATTGAAAAATAACATAAATAAACACCCTAAATCCCTTAGCACGCCCATCAAATATTTGACCGAAACTTTGCCCAAATGTTGCCGTACCTAATTCCGTTCTGCACCGCAAAACACATCACAAATGATTCCGTGAATTTTAGAAGGAGTTGTCCCTCGATGTGAGACTTGAACCCTACCGTGTAGAGTAATAAAATAGTTAGCAAAACAAACTAAGTGAAAGCCAGCGCGGTGGTATTGA